AGCCGCGGTCCGTAAAACCAAAACAACGAGCTGAAAGGAGCTAAAATGCTCAGTTGAGCTGAGAAAAACTGCAAACTAATATGATAATCCTCTGTGGGTTTATCACGTTGACATACCCCCTTCACACATTTTAATTTGATCTATTGTTGATATAAAGATATTTTTCAAGAGCAGCTTTAAAAATATGGTGTGTCTAGAGGGTGGGACTTGAAGGGTTAAAATCCAGTGCCTACTGTCTTGACTTGTTTTTGTGGATGGCCTCGTTGATGTTACCTTGTCAAAGAGGATTAGGTGATACTGATTAAAACCATGTTGTTGCTGTGGTCAGAACCAGTCACACATATGACACCTGAAACTGCAGTAAAAATGCAGTAGTGGTATTTGAAGTAAGTCAAGGTTAGGACGTGTGTGTGTGTGTGTGTGTGTGTGTGTGTGTGTGTGTGTGTTGTGTGTGTTGTGTGTATGCATACTTGTTATGGAGGCATCTGGGAATTAATTTTAGTTTATTTTACCTGCTGTACTGATTAACAAGCACCAATAACATTCTGCCACCCCAAACTGTTTGTTATGTTATCCTAAAAAGAAAAAAATGTGTGTGTGTGTGTGTCTGTCTGTGTGTGTGTCTCACATATGTGCAGGGGCTGAAATATGGCTGAAAGATATCTGGTGTAATGAGGCCAAGGTGATTTATTAGTGCAGAATGCTCCGTTCCCCCAGCACGTACATGCACACACATACACTTAAGAAAGGAACTGTGACAGCTGCTTCACTTTCTTTTAATTGCATGCCAGTTAAAAGCAATTTAAACTATACTTTGCCATGGCCAAAACCTGGCAAAGGCAAATTGGTTCAGGCTTCAGAATTTATGTTTGGTGGTGAGACTACTGTATGTAGAGGCTGTTTACCAAAACCTTACCCTGACATGTTAAAAGATGTTTTGCAGCTTTGAATGAAGAAGAATATAATTTGTTTTGGTGCAAAGGTCTGCTGTGAGACTAGTCTAGACAAACACCTTCAAGGATGGGAGGGAAACGGGCAAATAAAAGACAAGGAGGAAGATAGACCAATCGAGCGAGTGCGTGCGAGACAGATGCAGGTAGTCTGTTAGCATATTAGCGTCTCAGCGGCGGACAGGCAGACAGGTGAAGGCGGAACAGAGTCAACTTGAGTGAGTCTTGCAGTCATACTCTAGCCAGAGGGAGCTCTGCTTTGGATCAAACAGGCTCACCATTAACCTGTACTGACACTGTTTAGACAGCGGGGAAAACAGCAGAGTAAAGAGGCAGGGGAGAAGCCAGGACATTAGCATCTCAGGCAGTGATCGGTGAGGACTTCACGCTCAAGCAGGATGGAATTGTTCAGACAACAACAACAACACAACAACAGATAATGGGGCTATTGAGGAAAACAGAGGGACAGGACTATGTCAAGGTGCTGATCTTGTGAGGTTCATTGTCATTACTACAATAATAATTTTGATTTCACTGTCACCCTTATAATACTTAATCCAAATAATGTGTTTCCAAGGAACAAAGTTATCTAGTATTTTTCTAAACTTATTAATGATCATAGAGATCAGACAGTGGTCCAAATCAGACCATGATGTTATTCTGGAGAAACATTTGCAAAGGACATAAACCATCAAAACAACTTATTTGATCCATATAATCGTATATCATAATGCTGTGTTTACTTTCTTTGTTTCATTTCCCTCCAGCTTTGCTGAAAGTAGAGTTCAAGGCAAGTAATTCCTGTATTCAGTCTGCTGATTAAACTGTTGCTCATTCAATCATTAAATAAATATTCTTTAGTTTGATCACGGTTTAATCAAGCTTTTGAGAACGTCAAAGATTTTTCAGTTGACAGAGATAAAACAATTTGTCTACAAAGGGCTACTGGTTGCAAATGTCACTTGAAAGTTTATAGAAAAGTTTTGCAGCGGATCATTACTACCAATATAGCTGAATGTCAGAAAGTGTTTAACTTATTTAAACCTGCAGATTTTTGGCCAAGCTGTAAACACTGACATATTATCAGCTTTTAAGTTGATAGGGTGAACTTGCAGTTGCTTATTTACACGTCGCCCAGACACAGAGAAAAAATGGCATTCATTTGGAGTTGTGGTTCTGGCCACCTGATGAATGTAAATCCAATGTTCACTCTCTTTTTACCTCTGTTTTGCTCTCCACTCTCTCCTTAGAAAAAAGTATCTCGTTTTATCTTCTTCTCATCTTTAGCTGATAAATGCTCCCCTCTTCAACAGCTTGTCGCCAACTTTATCTGTCTGCTGTTTGGTGCTGAGCAGGTAGCGTACAGAGAGTTTTTAGAGCCTTGTTGCTGAAACCAGCTGCCTGTCATGACCCGGCTTGTGAGCCATGACAAAAAATGGGAGTTACATGGTTTCAAACTGAAAGCTGAACAAGTTTCTCACTGAAAATGCAATAACTCAAAAGCATACTGAAATTATTAGGTGTTAATCCGTGGTATCAGTGTGTCAGCAGATGAATGGGTGGTTGAGTGATGAATGGAGGGTGTAGCTATAATTAACTCTAACCTCTGAGACCTGCAAGGCAACACACACAGACAAACAAGCAAAAGTGAGATTGAATCCAAGACAAAACCAAAAAAATGAGCTGAAAGATGCTAAAAAAGCTTCACAGAGCTGAGGAGAGGTGCTGAGTTTGGTGATGGGCTCGTCACTATGAGCAACACCTTTCAAAACACACATACTTAAGCAAGTTGATCTGTTGTTTATGTGAAAGATATTGATTAAAGCTGCCTTAAAGGTGATCATTTCAAACCAATGCAGATATTTCACTCAAAGACGGGGGTTAGATAAGCATTGTATAGTCACACACACAGACACACACACACACACACACACACACACACACACACACACACACAACACACAGACAGCAGGAGTTTACATGCTAGAGTTTAGTCACCCAGAGGGAATGTGCCTTGAAAATCAAAAGACATTAACCAATTAGCACTGATCAATAGTCACAGCCACACCGGGACGAGACAGTCTAGGAGCACTGTTAATGCATGCCTACAGGCCAATTGGCAGGCTGGAACTACTATTGCTCTCAGCTCTCAGCCAATGAAAATGCCGGAAGAACTCTTGACATTCTGCTGCTCTCCAATGCAAAGTACCTTTCCCGCTGTAGCTAGGCAGATCAGGCGGCACGAGGAAATAAAAGGGAGAGATGGAGAGATAGAACGAGACAAGGAGAGGAAAGAAGGGAGGTGGGAGGGACAGAGGAAGAGTGGGAGAGTATATGTGTTAGGCTGTGAAAGCAGGTGCCATAGTGGGCCTCAGTGGGCAGCAGGTAATCTCACTGAGATAAGCAGTAGCATGACAGCCAACCTTTAATTCCTCATGGGAGGTGGAACCGTGGAGTTGCCGCAGGGCTGGTCTCCACATCCCCTGGAAATACATTCATATAAAGGAGTAATGTCAAAAGATGGATAGAGGATGCATTTTGATGGTGGGAAGATTGAGGTGAGAGAAGAAGAAAGGGTGAAAGCAACAAAGGCAGAGTGAGTTTTGCTTCTGTTTTGCACATTCTGCACACATATATGACCGTGTTCACATATACACAGATCACAGCAGCACCTCAGCGCCTCAACTGCTCTGTATTCATGATGAGGAGAGCAAAATATCAGCATGGGGCTCGGGATGTATGGGGGATTGAGGCGGAAGGAAGGGAATGAAGGAGAAAAGAGGGAGTAAAAAAAAAGAGGAGGAGATATCTAAAATATTACACCTATCAGGGGGAGTGTTCAGTGGAGCAGGCATTATGAGAGTGTAAATTACATTCCCTCCCTCTCCCCTCGGGCTGCCTGCTGCTGGATGAATATAATCACCCAGACACACACTGCACCATCTATAGACACTAGCAGAATATTAGATAGAGAGCCATGATGTGTGTATGTTTATTGTCACAGAAGACTCCAATCATGTATCGATCTGGCATCGGCTCTCCGTCTTGTTCTTTTCTGACATTATGTAAAAATATTGACACATAGGGAATTTGTCTCAATTGGGAGGAGATCAATAATGATTCACTGGGCCTCGTAAAACCTCCGGAATCAAGTGGGACAGCTTCTATGGTGGTAGGGTGGAGGAGAGCGTAGGTCTTTGCGAACTGATATTCTCAAAACAATTCCTTTTTCCTTTTAATTTCCTGTCTTTATTTTCACTTAACAGTTGTATTTGACTTTTTGGAACTTGAGCCTCTTTTCTAACATAATTTGTCTCAAGAAAAGACCTTCTGAACAAAACAGTGATTTGTCGATCAATCAACAGGAAAATCAGTCATAATCCACAAAAATCGTTTAAGAAAGTTGTGAATAAAAATGTCAAACATTCTCTACTTCCAGATTCTTAAATGTGAGGATTTGTTGCCTTTCTTTCATACGTGATAGTAAACTGAATGTCTCTGGGTTCTGGACTGGTGGTCGGACAAAACTATCGATTTAAAGATTGTCACATTGAGCTTTTAGAAATTGACACCAGATGATTAATAGATGAAGCAAAACGTAATTGGCAGATTAATGGATAATGAAAAGTATCCATATTATCATTGGAACAGTGCTTCATTCTCTCTTTTTATTTCGCTCTGTGTATTACAATCTGTTAGCAGAGGCAGAAAGACAGCTAATCCTCTTTATCTCTGCTCTTGAAGCTAATTTGTCTTTCAATGGGACCTTGAGAAAATAGGGGAAGGTAGCGAGTGCACAGCTCAGGTTACAAAGGGGGGAAAAGAAAGCAGAACTGATCGCTCTTCTTTACGACAAAAACCCAGTGGCAGGCCCAGATGTCAGGGATGTTAGGTCAGCGCCTGCTAAATGGGAGGGCAGCAACTTGAGTCAAGGCTCATTACTTCTTTACATTAGGCAACAGTTCAGGGAAACACTATTCTAATTCGCCTCTTTCCATGTCTCTATCATCCTTATCCCTCCCACTTCCCCTTCCTCTCTCACTCCCTCAGGGCCGCTGTTCCAGGGAGAACTGTAAGTACCTGCATCCTCCTCCCCACCTAAAGACCCAGCTGGAGATCAATGGAAGGAACAACCTCATCCAGCAGAAAAACATGGCCATGCTGGCCCAGCAGATGCAGCTTGCCAACGCCATGATGCCCGGCACGCAGTTACAGCCAGTGGTGAGAGGACACATAATACGAACAAATGCAAATAACAGTAATTTACTACACACAGGGGGTACAAACTCTGTGAACAGGGCCCCATTTGTCAAACATAGGTATGCGTGTTAGCTAGTTGTTCTGGCTCTGGTGATCCGACACAGGTCTGAAGTTGTTAGTATTCTGCAGCTGGCTTAAAAAAAGTTACTGTCAGAGCAAGAAGTCTAAATACATTTTAAGAATACTTTAACCTGCAGACTGCTTTTTCACAGTCAGTTGACCATTATCTTTTGGTGTAATTATTACAATATAATTTTATGTATTAAGACAAGTGGATAACGTGTTTCAAGATGTCGCCCATTCGTTTTAATGTAAGTTGCTCACCGGGTGCATACGGATTACGTTTTTTCAGGATTCCTCAGGCTTCTGCTTTGAGTCGTTTTCTTTTTCTGAGCTTGCTGACTTCCTCCTTGCTACCATCAGACATGAAGGCACAAAAAATGTCTCAAATTTAGACAAGGCTAAGAGCTAAGAGTCATATCAGAGTGTTTGTGATGTTCAGAATATCTTTTTTATTTTTGTAGGAAAAAATGATTTTTTTTACAGCGTCCACTCTGCTAAAATCACTTCATTTCCCAGAGGTTTGATTTTCTTACATCTTAATGGGAATTTAAAATCAAATTGATTACTGAAAGCTTGCTGGAAATTTGTTATGCAGTTTAAACTCTGGTTCTCGAGTGCCCTTAACATGCTTTATAAGAGATTCTAGCTGGGTTCAGTTAATTATCTCCGCTAGGCGTAAGCCTGGAGGGGATTATGAGTTTGGTTGTGTGCGTGCAACATTATGGCCTTTGTTGTGACTCAAAAACTGACAACCATAGAAAAGTTTGTCCTCGTCTCGAACCGGTGCATTTACAGATTAATACGCGATATGTTATCATCCACTAAAGTTAAGAACAATAGAAAATGAATAAATCCCTGTTTTATCTTTGCCGCCATCTTGACTGTGGGAGACTGATGCATTACGGGCCGCTGCTGTGTGTCTCCGCTATGTGTCTGCTCAGTCTCCATATTGGCAAGGTTAAGATCAGTAAACAAATGTATTGAGAGATGCAGACTTAACCACAAAATTGACTGAAAGCCGCCTGGTTGCTTGTCATTTTCTAAATAAAAATAAAAAATGTTAAGAAACTTTATTCAAAACTTTGCAAATCTTGCATTCCCTCTGGCAGTGGTTACTCATGACAGCCATCATAGTTTTAATGCTATACCTATGCTGCCTTTATTTCAAATTAGCCAGCCAAAATGACCAGATATCAAGGTGGATAAGAATTTACAGGGTTGTTTAGGTTTAGCGTTCTCACCAAAACAAAAAAGAGAAAAGATTTGGTTGAAGAGCTCGATTTTTGTTTTTTCATCTTTTTTACATCTATGGCTGCAACTCACAATACATTAATCTGGCAATTACTTTCTCAAGTAATGGATTAATTGTTTGGTCTATAAAATGTCAAAACATGACTAAGGCTTCAAAGATTATATTTATTCTGACCCACTGTCCCAAAGCAAGAAATATGTAAGTCACTGTGATATAATCACCACACAAAAATGACTCAAATGATTAATTGTTAAGTTGTTGGCGATTCATTTTCTATCGATTGGCTAATAGATTAATTGACTAATTGTTTAATTACTAAGTTTATTAATATCATATTAGCTTGGGTTAATCAAACAATGCTAAAACAACGGGGCCAAGGTGTTAGGCTCCAAATCTTTATCATCACTCTGGGAGTATTCTCATAGCCTACAGTGATAGATAAAGTATTATATTATTATGCAATCATTAACACACCCACGAATCCATGCATGCAAACCCACACACACATGCAGTAGACATCATCAGATTGCTCTGTGACTGTGCTGCTCACTCCGACAATCTTCAAGGTGATGGCCAGTCCGGAGCCCCAGTCGGCCTGTTCAAATGGATCCTTCCCCGCCTGGTCCATGAGACCTTACAGAGTCAATGAGACCTGTCAGTCAGGCTTGAAGTAATTCCTCCGTCTTCTCCTCTTTCCCTTTATGTTTAAGTGAGAGCACTGGAGTGAATTTGTCTCACACTATTTAAAAGAGCTTCAGATGCTGCATGCTTGGACACACACACGCACATGCACACTTTTTAGCCGTTGGCTTATCACCCTTATCTGGGGAAGAGGGGCTGAGTCGAGAGGTCCATTGAGAAGAACAGAGGAAACCATGAAAGGATTTAAAGAAGCAATAGATCTCCCTGGGACTGCAAAGCCTTCCCTTTCTGTTTATGTCATGGGGAGAGAGAAAGTAAGGAGAGGAGAAGAGAAGGAAGACAGGCTGACAGAGAAGGACACAGCAGAAGAAGAAAAGGAGGACCGAGCAAGGCAGAAAAGAGATAAATAGACAGAGTAAAGACAGGTAGGTAAAGTGAGGGAGATAGGGAGACAGCAGTGAGGAGAGATGGCTTCAGACCTGTGCTACAAAGAGAGAAAACTGAGCCATGTTGTGTGCAAAGGGAACAAAGGGTAAGACTGGGGTACTAGCCTTTCCACGAATCAGACTTTCTTCCTCCAGCCCTCCCTTGGGTCTTTAGCTTAGTTTCCTGCCCTCATCCTCAGTATCTCTACCACATTTTATCTGCTGCTCTCCCACTTTTTTTGACTATAGCTGCGCCCCTACACCCATGTGCGTAGGAGAGTGCTTTCATTTCACGCATGAAACTGTGCAGAGGGTGAAGTAATTAGGGTCCATTACAGCGGGCTGTGAGTGATGGTGCTCATGATGCTTTTTATTAGAGAGTCGACGTCAGCGGACAGCCCACATTACAATTACATTTATCTACAGTACTGTATCACTCACTCACCCAGTCACTCACTCACTCAGCGGTTGCCCCATAACAAACAAAACCCAGAGTGTGCTCAGTGTAGCTGGCCGATTATTCTTGAAACCAAATCTTTAAATCAGGTTTCGTAAAAAAAAAAGAGAAAAGAACAATGGATATAGAGTAGAGATCTGGTGCACTTGTTTGGTACAGACATTCAGAATCATTAACATATTTTAGGCCTTTATAGATGTTAGCATTTGACAATGGGACCTAATGTTAGCTACTGTTGCCAAACTTTGAAAGAATAGAAAAAGAAATAGAAAAAGCTGTGCAATACCAGTATTGAGTCAGTTTGTGACCTCATGACTTTTCTCTACTTGTGTTGTTGTTGCACTACATTTTACTGAAAGTTACATACTCTTGCTTTAAGTTTCAATTTTCAAGTTTATTAAACAATTTTTACTGTTTTTCTCTTATTCTATTTTAATATATTTTATTATATATTTTTTATTGCCAAAATTTGTCTCATTGGTTCTTGTCTCATTGTTAACATTTGTAGTCCAGAAATATTTTAATTTTTAATGTAAGTCATTATCTTAGAACTTTGTTTTTTAATGTGGTTAAATAAAGTTTTTATTATAAAGTTAATTATAAGAAAATCTTTTGGAGATATTGTACACATTTAATTAGAGTAGGAGGAGTCTAGGAATAATGTATTGCATAAAATATTCAGTATAAGATAGTGTAACCATTAAAGGCCCTGCAGTTAAACACACAGTATGTGAATAAACTTGGTGCGAGTGCATTTTGTATGAGGGTATGTAAAAGGGGAAATCTTTGTAAAAAAGAGAGTAAAATACTCAAAGATTGTCTGAGAAAGAGCTACACAACATCACTGCTGCAAAACAAATTGCTGACAGGAGGCATGCAGTGAGATATTTTTCTGTTCCTGCTGTGTAAATATTCTCAGTGTAACATAACTGTTTTCAGTCCGTTGTGATTGTGATTTATAGCGTGATTCTGCAACGTCCTATGATTATTGGAAACGATTCAGTACTAAGTGAAGAGATATTCCACAAAAGGCCAAGGCAGGATCACAAACTTTTTGCAGGATGACATCACTGCATTGTTGCAACCTCATGACTGTGAGTCACTGAAATCTTCCCCAACCTTGAGCTGAGAACATCCCAAAGTAATATCTGAGCACCTTGAGAGAGACACATCTACTTTTCCAGAGTACTTCGTGACAGGTCGTAATTCTTCAGACATTCCAGAGGTCAGCGCTGGAAGAATTAGAAAGTACACGCTATTATTCCTGATTCTCTGAGTCATCCCAGAGCATCAAGGAGGTTTTGGGAGGAATGTAGCTGTCCAGGCCTGGCTGCCGCTGCTCTATTACTCACTGTGTCATGTTGGCAGAGGCTCAAGAGACAATCCTCAGACTGGGGCTGAGGTCAGGAACGTGCAGGGAGAAAATGCAGTGCGCTACATCAGCTAGCATACTCCTTAGCCTCCCTCTCACAGAATGTGGAGGTTTTCTCTTTAAAGCACATACAGGCAGTTCACTGTTGTACAGTATAGCCCCCTACCATGCACACACAGCTTGACATCCCTTATCCTTATTACTCCTATGTGTGTGATCTCTGGTGTATGAAGCGTGTGATTCCATCTGCTCCATGTGGAGGGAAGTTGACACCACATACGGAGTGTAGGCCTCCTTTATGTGTTATCTCAAATGAAAGACAAGCAGCCATCAAAGAAGACATTGTTTTTCCTCAGATGTAAGACCATTAATTGTCTATTTTTGCTATCTTTTTTCCCTCCACATCCCCAACCACATCTCCTTTCCTCTGCTTGGCTGTTGTTAATTGCATACATCTTTTGTTTCACCCTCTCCTGTGATATATGTTCAATGGATAATTTGAGTAGGAGTGAGGAAGGATGGCATGATACCCATTGCTAGATGTAATTAAATATTCAACAATTTTATATATAGACTTTGTGAGAAATCTTGTGAGTAAGAATTCTGACCTACTCTCTTATTTTTCTTGTGCCTGCAGCCCATGTTTTCAGTCACACCCAGCCTTGCAACCAATGTTAATGCTGCTGCGGCGGCGGCCGCTGCATTTAACCCCTACCTTGGCCCTGTGTCGCCTGGCCTGATGCCTGGTGACATCTTGCCCAGCGCCCCTGTACTGGTCACCAGCAACCCCAATGTCCCCGTACCAGCTGCTGCTGCTGCTGCTGCACAGAAACTCATGAGGACAGACAGACTGGAGGTGAGAAACACACACATTCTCACACACAGACGCAGGTACAAATAGTAAAAAAAATGACCGCATAAGCATGCGCACCACAGATCACACAGATGAGAGGATTTACATAATTATTTTTTCACTTTCATATCAGTCACAGATTAAAAGATAGATTAACAAAATGCTAGTGAACATTACACCCGGTGAGGATCTTTTCCCCAGCTATGCAAACAGATTGCGCTTTGAAATGTGGGCTGTGCCTATTTGAATATTAAAGGCATGGGTTGGAAAGTCTTGCCTCAACAGTTTCTGTTTGTAGACTTTAATTATGTATCTGGTACACAGTTTCTGTTACAGTAACTACATCCCATTACCATAATACAGTCATTACCCAGACTTAAGCAAAGAGAAAGAGACGTTAATGAGAGTGTCTCTCTATAAACATTACCGTTGTCGATTCCGCATCCCATCACAGGCAGGAGACAGCATTGTTTGCCATGAGCTGAAGTTATACTGTATCGGTGTGTAATTTTCAGAAAAATCTTTAATTCTTCTATGAAAGCAATCAGTCATTTGAAACCTGAAAAGTGCTGCTCCTCTAGCTGTGTTCAGATAATCATTAATTGGACAGTAAGTCAATCTCATCAATTATGCAGCCCCACCCGGGAAACACTCGCAGCAGAATAATGGGGAAATCGTTGTAGGTAAGCAGGAGGCGTGCGAGAACGTTAGGAAGGTTACATTTAAAATGAAATGTTGGGAAGCCTGGTAATTAATGGGGGTGAGGCTGAGGAAGTCTCTGGGCCTGACGAACGAGTGGACGACATGCGGAGTGAGGGAATGGGTCAATGACAGGAAAAAGAGATGGAGGGGGAGATAGGAAATCAATTTGTAGACCTGTTGTGGTGATCAGGGGAAAGGTTGGGACAAGCAAAGACAAAGATAAAAGAAACAAAAGCGAGAGTGGGAATTAGATTTCATAGAGGAGTCGTGACTGGTGAGAAGAAGTTATAGCGGTTGGGGAAAATTGGAGGCGAAGAACATGCAGGTCTTGATTCAGACTGGGACTGAAACGAGCTCCTGGCAAAGGATTGATAGCATTCTGCAGCAGAATCCAGTTAACAGACAAACAGATATGAAATATTTAGTAGGCAAATGCAGTAATTGGCAGTGGAGGGGAGATCTGCTCATTTTCACTGTATTTTCCTTCAAGATATTTTGGCCCAGTGGTCAACACTGCCGGTAGTACTCAGCCTGCATATACTGCTGAAGCAGTTTGATTGGGAGAAGTCATACCCTAGCCTAATTTGTCAAGAACTAGGCTTGCTAAAAATATCGTAGAGAAAAGGGCCAGCCATATTTTAGTTTCTAGTGTGTGTCGTTCAAAATAAACATAGCTGGAATTCTGTGGACCAACACACATACCAGCCAGTAGATATGTTACAGGCTGTTTCCACGAGGCTGAGAGAAATTCCTATTTTAGAAGACAAGACTGTTTTCCCTGAGACGTATTTTCCAGCAGTCTCTATCTCTTATAGAGCTATACTGCAGCCTTTAAGCGTGCATACAATCATATGTTGCTTACCTGCAACCATGGTGATGTAAATGGCCCAGAGGGACAGTTACCATGGGGACAGAAATATGATTAACAGGCCCTTTATTTGTTTGTCCAACTAAGCACTTCCAGTGGTTTAGCTCTCTCTAATGCATGATTAAGCACTGAAAAACACACTGGTCCACACCTGGTGCAGAGAACATCAAATTGCCTCCATTTAGTTTTCCCCTTTCTTCTCTATTTTTTTCCCCCCATGCTGGCCACACTCACTCGATCCCCAAAGACTGTCTCCTTGATCACCATCTCTCTGTCCTTTACTTATATTCATTCATCACTCTTACATTTTCCTTTCTCTCCCTTGTTTCCTCCCTCCCTCCCTCACCCGCCTCTCCAACATCTGCCTGACAACAAGGCAGTCTCTCTCTCTCTCTCTCTCTCTCTCTCTCTCTCTCTCTCTCTCTCTTTTTTTTTTTTTTTTTAAATAAGACCAGTAGCAGCAGTGGTGTTGGTGGCAGTGGTGGGGAATTAATGTGTGTGAGTGTGCGTGTATGGTTGTACATTCATATGTGAATGTGTGAGAGAGGTGTATAAGAGAAAGATTAGACAGACATGGACAGAGAATCCTACCCCATCGCTCACACAGATCGGTGATTGTGGATGATGAGCTGTCATGACAGGAGACAGAGCAGGGTTAGTTTGTAGATAACGGCGCTGGTGGCCTTTTGTCTGGCAGCCGTTCCACCGCAAATCAAATCCTTTATGCATGCAGACAGTGAGACTGGTAAACAGACATTTGGTAAATGGCTTGTTCTATCACAATAACTGATAGATCGATACAGCGTACCATGAAATTACATTTCATTTGGAGTAGGATGGGATTCTGAATGCAATTCAGCGGTGGCTGACTTCTCAAACGGACATCTTAAGTTATTGCGTAGCTCCTTAAGTGTCAAAATTTAATTCTGGGAAAAATGCTGCCTCATAATTTATATGTGGATCCACCTTGCGTGTGTGTGTGTGTGTGTGTGTGTGTGTGTGTGTGTGTGTGTTATTATGTGTGGGCTGGTGATTACGTCAGCCACAGCCTCCCTTGAGGGTAACCAGCCTCATATTTCCCATGAGCCTCATTGAGCCCCTACATTCAGGCTCAGGCAATCAGTCTCCCAACTGTTCACGCCGATGCTGCCCCCTTCTGTCTCTCTGAGGAAGAACAACAACACGGCTCATTTGAATAATGAATAAATGTCTTGTGATTGATGAGTCTGTAAACGCTGGTTACGGTCTGTTCTGCTTATCAATCAACAATAATGGCTGAACCTGTCATTAAGATTGGTTAGCTCTGTCTGGTAAAGTGATTGTCAAGTTCTGAAATGACTGAACAGATTGATTACTTCATCAAATGTGAAGTAAAGTGAACAGTAACTTCATAATGTGTGTGTGGGTTCTGGTGTCTGCGTGCATTTCTGAGTGTGTTTTAGGTTTATAAAAGTTGTCTAAACATAATAAAAGCAGTAAAATGTGTTTTTCTGCACCAGGTGTGTCGGGAATACCAGCGGGGTAACTGCACACGCGGGGAGAACGATTGTCGCTTTGCCCACCCTGCAGATAGCACTATGATTGACACCAACGACAACACAGTCACTGTGTGTATGGACTACATTAAGGGCCGCTGCTCGAGGGAGAAGTGCAAGTACTTTCACCCTCCGGCTCACCTGCAGGCCAAGATCAAAGCCGCCCAACACCAAGTCAACCAGGCTGCGGCTGCTGCAGCCATGGTAGGTATCCGTCCACAGATCACAACAACAAGAAGGACTCAAGCTATAGAGCATCTACTGTATCATAGCATCATCAGTCCTGTGCAGAAAACCAATTGTGACCAAGAGCAGAGTTCATATAGTTATTCCAAAAATCGAGGACAAGCCAGACTTGATTTCTCATGTGAACTAAAACAAATCATTATGCTCTTCTAATGTCGATGTGGGCTCATTAAAGATGACCTGGGTCTGTCTGGGTTTTGAGCACACAATACAAACACTCTTATTTGGGTATATGAGCCTTGATTTTCCCATTTCTTATGGATGTAGTTGTCTGAGTCAACATCTTCTACCCTGTGCTTTTACTCAATCTCCCAGCACACATTCCAGTGTCCTCTGTTCCTGCTCTCTTCAGCTCTGACCTAATACACACTGAGAAGATACAGAGTCGATGTGTGCTTTATTAGCAGCAGACTGTAGTGATCGTGCTAGTATGTGACTGAGCCTACTGCTCCCCTCCTCCTGCTCCTCCTTGTTTTGCTGCTTTGTTAGTTGTATTTTTTGCTGTTCGCAGTCAGTAGGTATGTAAATGTTTGTGAAGACTAGTGTTAATTTCAACCTTGTTTCTGCAATGCAGTAATAACTAAAGTTAAAAGTGACACAGTCAGGTTTCGCTCAGCCAAGTACTGTAAATGACATTTTGCAGCAGGTATTCCAGAAAGGAGGATAAGCTTTCAGTTAACCTTTCATGTTATTTATTAGAGCCAAATTAGAGATAATATATTAGACTTGCCTCCACATTTGAACAATATTATCAGTATATTTGCCCTTTTTAACCTCTTTTCTTTTTAAAAGGTTTAATGTCGTGAGCAGTTCAATTCATGTCGTCTTATTTAACTTGTATGGCATTTAAATTTTGACTAATTTATCTTTATCTTTATTATTATTTTACTTTTACTTGCAGTCTCATTTTATGAACAAATATTTTTTTGGAAGTGCTTGGATCAGTTTTTAAACATATTTTAAATATGCTTAATTCAATAAAAGATATGACAAACAACAATAAAATTGTACAGTGAAAAGAACGATAAAATAAATATAATACAGCCCATGATGTATAAACTCATACAACACAAAGTGTGGTTTTAGTTTAGCTCGAAGAGTATGAACATGTATGTCTTACACTGCACGTAGGTTAAAACATAATAAGCAAGCTAATAAGTGGTTAATAGTGGTTCATTTTTAAATGTACCTGTGTTTGCATTCTTGAGGCATTAAATAAGGAAATAACAAAAGGTTTTCTGGAGTATTTGAAAGCACACACTGAGGTGTGAACTTTATATTTAAGCAATCTTAACCTTGTTAGTGGCAGATTATATCTACTGTAACTGTGACACCTTACCAGTTTTATATATAATGCTGACTTATAAACACGCTATAAACTCGCTGTTTCGTTCCGTTCGGAGGATTATGATGATTGCACCCATTGTTTGAGAGTTGAGTTGCGGGCCCGGGACCAGGAGTCAGGATCAAGTTAACCTGCCATTATAGCTGTGTATTTTCATAGCCATAGCCCAGTCACAGACTGTAAGTATCTGGAGCAGGGGCTTCATAGTGTGTCTATACAAAGATCATGGATTGCCTTAAATTTGAATTTAACAAATCTGGTTATCTGGCTAATCTTCCTTTCTGGACCACAACACCATTGCACTCACAGTTATACTTCATGAAACAGAATTTTCATCTGACAGTAAACTACTTTGAGGGCCATAATTCTTTTCAGTAACCCTACAGCCATTAATGTGCATGTCCTAGTCTTGTTATTGTTGTATATTGCATTCCAATGATTTGTTTTTTTATTTGTTTGTTTGTTTTTTTGTTTGTTTTTTTTCTCACCAACCCACACTGCACTGCTGCCCCCATGATGCACCTCCGCTTGCTGGTTTATGTTAATGCGCTTGAACCCCATTGGCCCATTGCCATCATGTGCTCGCTGCCTGCTAATTAAGACTCAGTCGGCTGTCAAATCACTGAAGCGACCCCTCGACGCAACTTTTGACCTGGTACTATGACCTTTCACCTTTTAGCTTGGCATGTAGCTGTGGTGTAGTAGATATACTTTTGTAGTTCTAAAATAAAGTAGATATTGAATGATCTGAACTGAGGAAACACTGAGGGGTGATGAACTGATTGTAGCCATCGGATAAAATGCCCATTTGAATCTGGATTTAAAACATCAGGGACCAAAAACAGAAAAGGAAACCCTGTACATTTTTCACTGTCAGTGGTCAGTTCATCACTTAAAGTGAATCTCCAAAGCAAATAATTGGTGGCATGAAAATGTAATATTGTAGTGTCTAATAAGGTATGGTAGTATTTGCATGATTTTTTTCACTTCCCATATTGCATGTGTAATTGTTAAAGAGGTGTCATAACAGTCTTAACATGGCTTATAGTGAACTATTATCATGGAGCTGGCAGTGCAGCTTTCCCTAACTACATCATTTCTGTTGATGGTCCAACAATCAATACTATAACTTGTATGGTAGCTGTCATTACCTGTACAGAAAAAACTAGCTATGCCTAAGCCTGCAAACTAATTATTTTATGTACTGTATTATTCAAAATCATATCATAAGGTTCATTACGTTGTGCTGAGGAGTGTATTTTGTTGCCACTAGCGAGATAGATGTCACAGTTTGTCAGCTAGCGCCACTGTCCTGTCTTTCTCTGACAGAGGTAGTGTAGTCCACTGCTTGCTTGCCAGTGTTTGTAATAGCTGTTTGGAAGGGCAACTTTATCTTCTAATGAAATTCTTTCTTCTCTCTGTCCTGAATGTCACTGCTACCATCCTTTGATTTCCCTCACTCCCATCCCTTTATTTTGGTGTTGTCCCCTCATCAGGGGCTCCCTCCCGTCTTGCCTCCTTTACCAAAGAGACCTGCACTTGAAAAAGCCAACGGTGCCACCACTATGTTCAATGCTGGCGTATTCCAGTACCAACAGGCCCTGGCCAACATGCAGTTTCAGCAGCAGGCTGCCTTCATACCATCAGGTAAGAACTGAGCCTTCTTTGACACGTGTTTGCGGCAGTTATGCCATTGCTGTTGGCTCTCAAATCACATGTACTGTCTCACAAATCTCCCTTATTGTCTTTTGGCATCAGCAGTGAATGGCTGAATGATTGTGTGATTTCATTGTTGGTGACAAAGTTGAAGAACTCGCATGGAATTAATTGCACATGTACGTACAGCATGGATGTAGGTTCAGAGTCAGAGGTCGGGGTTGTTGTTGTTTAAAGATGCTATGATTGATATTTTATGCATTTATAGGTATTTAGATTACTAACCAGAAGAAACTCCACCCATCAGCTAGGGCAGCCTGACCAGCAAAATTTAAGGCAGCAAAAGGTAATGCAGAGTAACAAAGTGAACCAGATGATCAGTCAACATTTTTATCACTTTTTTTTCTCTCTTATCTGGTTTTTCTGGCCACTGGACTGTAAAATGACACAGTTTAGAGAGATTTTATTAAGTAAATCAAACTCAAACTGCAAAGTGGGGGAACATGTCTCCACTTCATCCCCAGTGGAAATTGCGGCCTTAATATACAGTATGTGTGTATATACACTCCACACACACACACAGCTTATTTGATCTGTACTTCTCTGGCCACTGCATAGTCATCTTACACTGTGTCCCATATTCTCATCTGACAGCCTAAGAATAGCCTGCCATCGATTCCCTTCTGCGAGAGATTCGGATACTCAGATCCTCATATGTCCCACACTACTGGACTGTCAGGTCACTGCAAGACACTTTGAGGACTCTGAAAGCAGGTCATTCAAAAACTACCACGCAAACAGCTGTTAAGCTGCTGACAGGAAAATGGGACCAGGGGTAGTGTTTAATCTGCCCTTCCATTTAATGGAGCAGTGAGCAGTATACTGGGGCTGGACAGACAGTATGAGGTTCTCCACAACTCAGAGCTTTATATCTTATGCGTATGCTTCCTATGCTGTGCAGTATGTGTGGTAGCAGCAACTGTGATGTGTGCAAAGAAATGATCATTTTGTGTAATTATTATTAATCAATATTGGTACATAATCAGCTATATCACTATTGTATTGAAGCCAGCATTCACACCCAGGTTGAATCCAATATGTCTGACATTATAACACTTGTAATTGATTTTCTTGATTTCTTCTCCTCCCTATTCACTCCACTCCCTGTTGCAATGCATGATGGGCAGGCTCGATATTGTGCATGACACCTGCAACAAGTGTTGGTAGGTGCCAGCTTTCCTTACTGATTATCTTTGAGCCCATTTTAGTCACTCACGTGTCATTCAACTCACCACCTAACGTGAGCACATTCTCCATTTTGTGAATTTAGACTTTGATATTAACCTGAAACAGCTTATGTAATCTCTTTGCAATGCGGTCGACAGTGTGGCTGATAAAATTAAAGAATTGTAATGTGTAATTTCAATTGGAAGTTGATGTGTTTTTATTATACTCTTATGCAATACGTATTTGTGGTATGGAATGAACTCTTTTTTGCTCTGCCACAGTTCTGTCTGTCACCTAATGCTTGTTGCAGTTCAAAATCCCCCTCGACCCTAGCTTCATTATACTTCCATCCCAAGCTGTCTAACCTCTGAAGCACTTCATTATACTGTCTGGTTATACATGCCATATAAACATGAGGAGTTATTATTGTAGTAGAAGTAGTGGAAGGTGTAGTAGCTGTTGTTGTAAGTTTAATTTTCATTTGTAGCAGCAATTTTAGTGTTCCTATTTTAGGGAGGTGAAACAAAAGCCAATTAACTAACCTTTTCAGTATGAATGCCACAAGAAAAATAAAGATACTGCCATCTGAATTTATATTTTGATCTTCAAATTTGGCAATTAACTACTTTGCACTGTAAATAATTCCCCTGATGTTTCTTTTTCTTCCTCCACAGCATGCCTGTTGCTTTCACTTTACTCAAATTGGTGGAGTAATTGTTAGAAAGAACAAAAAAAGCTATTTCAAACTATCAATGGCTTTTCTCATGTTTATTAGCATTCTATAAACAGACGTACAAATGAAGTCTTAACATAAAAAAGCTTCAAATCTGCTCTGGTTCAACTGCCTGTGTGTGATCTTTCCCTCCAAGTACCCATGATGCACGGTGCTACTCCAGCCACTGTGTCTGCAGCCACCACATCTGCCACAAGTGTTCCCTTTGCAACCGCAACAGCCAATCAGGTTTGCTCTTCTTCTGTCTCCTCTCTCTCTCTCTCTCTCTCTCTCTCTCTCTCTCTCTCTCTCTCTCTCTCTCTCTCTCTCTCTCTCTCTCTTCACTTCTGGTGTCAGCTTAGACTTTTCAGTATCTGTTAGTTTATTTATTGTTTTATTCTCATGATTCCCATGTGGCTCCTAATGAAAAATGCATGAATGGTGCACAAGGCTCATCTCTGACCTTTGCTAGCTTTTCAGAGCATCTAATACTGTAATTATTTAGATAATTACAATGCTTATCTTTATTATCACTGTGGGTTGAAGTACTATTTGTCCTTATTTCAACTGATGTCTCCGTCTCCCTCCTTTGTCCCCCTGTTTCTTTCTTTCTGTCTTTGCCTTCCTCTCTCTCCCTCTATTTCTCTCCTCCCCCCTCTCAATCAGATTCCAATAATATCTGCGGACCATCTGACTAGTCACAAGTATGTGACCCAGATGTAGGAGTCTCAATCAGAACAGTATGTACTCTCCTCGCACCCTGCATTTGTTACTTTTACACTTTTAATCCAAACAGTTCAGAAACAATTATGTGAAGTATTTGGCCAATTATTATTATTATTATTATTATTATTATTATTATTATTATTATTATTATTATTATTATTTCGCACCCACCTACTTTATTCAAGTAATGTACAACTTATAGGAATAGTTTGACATAGTTACACCTATTTGCTTTCTTTCTAAGAGTTAGATGCTAAATATGCAGCTACTGTAGAGGCAGCAATTGGTTGGCTAAGCTTAGCATAAAGACTGGAAACATTGGGACACAGCTAACCTGGTTCTGACCAAAAATCTGGCAAAACTCTATAACACGTTATATCTTGATTTTTTAATCCTTGGTTAATTCTTGGTTAGGCCAGTGATTCCCTATAATGGATGAATAGTGAATGAGAATATTTCTCAAAAAGGTTGAACTATTCTTTTAAAAAAGAGAGGCGAATTAGGATGAAAATATTGTATATCCTGGCCACTGTCGCAGTTTTTGCAGTCATGCACCATCAATACTCAGTCAGAATTCCTTGCTACCCACTGATGTGGTTATGTTATCTGCACAACTTGCAAGAGCAAAATATGAAGTTGATTGATTTTGTAACATTATAAAAGGCAACACTAAAAACACATTATTTGCTTGTTCAGTAGCCAAAGGAATTACACCCATGTTGGACAGTTCTGCGCCTCAGATTTATTATTATTTTTTGTCCAACATTCAGTGCCAATGCAGGAAGCACTGTACCCTTTATCTGGTGAGGCAGACAGTAAGGGTATGGAGGTCAGGGTGGTGGATCAGCATGTGCCACATCTGGCTTTCATGCAGGAGACCCAAGTTCGTGTCAACTCACAGATCTGCAATTACCCTGTTACTCACCTTTTTATTCAACTGAAACCAAGGGAGGCACTGCAGCTTCGGGGCTAAGATGCTGACAATAAAGTCTGCTTTCTTTTTTTAGTTGCCCAACCATATTTTAAATATACAGTAGTTTATTTGCCATAACCACAATCTTTCCCAAATCTTAACCATACCCTAGCTTTAATGTGCAGATATTGTAGAAAGTGAGAACTAATTCAATTTTAATTAGATTAAATGTAATTCAGAGTTTCGTAGAATCATCCAATCCTCATCATTCACATCTGATTTGCTGCGTTTTGCAACCTTCTTTCCAGATGGAACTGGAGCGTGCTGGTGTCGAGTCCAAGATTAGCGGTCACCCTTCATGCCTGTAACATCAAGAGCAAAACGGAAAACCAAATCTCAATTGGTTTGGAATAAATCTGCATGTTAACATATGAGGCACAGTTTATTAGGATTGTTTTCATGTGTACTTCATGCACACTATTACACAACAACAACAACAACAACAGAAAAGAACATAATTTGCATTAAAGACTGCCTCATTCTGTAGAGACAACTTACCTTTATTCACCGGACACACTTTGAATGTTAACATGAGGTAAATGTGTGGAGCGGTCATCAAAAAATCGGCTGGATTGGTACATCCATTGACCAAGAATCATGACTTGTGTTTGTTTATTGGTTGTTGGTCTCTGACCTAAATGTGTTCATTTGTTTACACAAAGGTACACCTTGTATTTCAGTTGAGGTAAAAGAAACGGAAATCTGACTGAATCACATATGCATGCACAATGATTTTGTTTATGATTTTATTTTGTTAAACTAGTGATAAGGGAAATTACATGAGTGCACTCAGAGGCAAAATAGCAACTGAATGTCTGTGAGGTGTCTTTCAAACCTTTGTAGCCTACCTTTCTATCTCTTAAGCACATGTCTTTAACCTTGCAGGCATCCCTGTAAAGTGCCATACATCTCAAAACACATGAATGGTATTTAAGCAGCGTTACAAAGTGTTTAACTCAACAATTCCCTTTAATACGTCTATTTTCTCTCTTGGACAGCATGTAGTGTCCAATGTTGTTACCTGTCATTACCTGTGATTCCCAATAGCACCACTGCTGATTAGATTACTTTCCCCAAATTGCCTGATTTACTCAAATCTTCTACTGAATGAAAAGCTTTTATGTTTTCATAGACTTTATTATTGGTGTCAGTTGTTTAGACAGGAAACGACTGGATCTGTGCCGACACAGATCTCTCCATGATCTTTAAGTCAATTGACTCTAAAAGTCAGATGAGTTGTATGGGGAGGTCTTGGCCTGCACGAGAGACCAAAGACTCTCCTAATAATGAAGATGTTACGATGAATAGCTTTGAAACAACAGGGCGATCAGTTGGTATCCAAACTGCTGTGAGACAGAAGTCAAAATCGACGGTGCAACTGGTGGATATGTGATTTGTATAACATGATTTGTTTTTCATGTTTGTACACATATTTTAAGACAGATTGTCAAAGTAGATTCAGTGTAGTGTGTGTATATATAGTCTGACATATTTAAGAATATTTGTTTAATACGTCTACCTGAGAACTGTTTTCAGATAGTCAGCCAAAGTCTTTTTTGTGTCACTGTTACTAGATATTGTAGGTAGACTAGTGGGAGAACATTTTTTAAATGTGTGGGCCACATTAGCGAGCCCAAAGAAAGATCGGGTGTAAAGAGTAGATCTCTAGAATTCTTTGTTTTTGTTGTGTTCTGGGTGTTCTTCAGGCATATTTAATTGGTGGATAGTACAGGGAAAGTGGCAAGAATATAAACGATTGTATTACTCATCCAAAGCCTTAGAATGTACCATCGGGTCAGCACAATGCAACATGCCATTTTGAACCATCCAGTTGCCTAATCCACGTCATATTAACACACACACACACACACACGCACACACACACACCTACACACAGACCTACACACACACACACACACACACACACACACACAGAGCACTATGTAATTGTCACTTTTTTTGTCAGTGTTTTCTTAACTTTCTTGTAGTTTTTCTTTAGATGAGGAGTGTTTTACTTTATTTTGTTTGGATGATATTTTGATATTTAGTTCTGATTTTTAGTTTTGCTTATTATATTTATCTTTCTTATAATGAATATAAGGTAAAAGTGTGTGTTTGTGTGTTCCTCATGCACAGTTTCCTGAAATTCCATGTAATGTTACTTTTAGTATGATTACAATTGTAAACTCAATATTTTCTACGTTATGCATATTGTTGAACTGTATGCATATTGTTCATTTCTCTAGTCTTTTTGTGTTCTTTGAACAAAGATGTTTTATATGAGTATCTAACAGTGATGATATAATAGAACAGAGAGGCTAAGTTGTCACTGTGGCAACCATCGCCGATAACCGAGTAATATTTTAATGATTGTAAGGTTTGTAACTAGTCATATAAGAAAAAAAAGACTATTATAAAAATCTAGTTCTTAGATGTTTAGAGTAAAGATGTTATTTTCTACTGTATCCATTTCAAATAGTAACTATTGTTTAAATATTTTTACTCTCCCTGGAAATTGGGCCATGTTGGAAAACAAGCTGCATATTTGATCACTTTTTCGGGGGCGTTGCTGGCGGGGTCAGGTGAACGTGGTGAGGAGGGGGATTGAGTATGCACACTCGTCTCTTACTCAGCCAACTGCAAACAACAAGGGTGGGGTGGGGAATCTCAAGGCGTTAAAGGTGATAAAGGTTGACTTTTTTGCACTTCTGTACATAGTCAAAAAAGAGAGAATCATGTATATTGAGATCTTATTTTGAATAAAAAAATAATGTCTATAATGACAAGGAATTTTGCTAGGATAACAAAAAAAATCTTATGAAAGGCTGAACAAAATTGCTTGCATCAAAAGGGCACTGAGTTCTCACTCTCCGACCCCTTTCAGAAAAGGCCAAGTGTTGCTCTTCTTTTTTGTCAGCAGCTTGTAGTTTGCCAGGTAACCTTCCGGAGGAGGCGTCCACTGCCCTCCAGTGTAAGGGCCTGACTGGGTTTGTCTGGTCCCCTAACCTGCCTGTACTGACAGGTCTGTGTGTCATGGCCACGCCCTCCCAGGCCCAACCAATCACAACACGTCCTGTCTCTTTACTTTACTCAGAGAGGAATGCATGTTAAAGGAAATACATATACCGTTAAAAAAAAAAAAATCACGACAGTAATATTGAATAAGAAAACATGTTACACAGAAAGATGTATTTACAGTATACAATATTCTATCAATGTAATGGAATAAAATATATAGAAAAAATACAAAAATAGAATAGTGGTTTATTTAAAAAAAAAAAAGATTCCTGAAAATATACTCACTAAAGTTTTACCACTTGGAGAGTTAAAATACATGCAACACAAACACCATAGCTATAAGTATGTTCTTTATGTTTATGTAAGCTGTGCTTCTAGTAGATGAAACTGACCAAACAGGAATGTAGTTTAACATCAGGCACAATTTAAGAATAATTTCAGACTGAAATACTGTTTTGTGGTTTGTTCATTAAGTCGTTAGTTTGAAATATTGTCCTGATCATCTTTGTCATCTCTCATCTCCTACAAGCACGCATGCTTACGTTTATGATATAATGTAAACTGAACTTTTTTTCATTTGTTGTTTGTTTTCTCTGCTTGTAGTGCTAATATGATGTATTCTGTCTTCTGCTGCAGTTTGTTTCTGCTTGTTTTACTGCTCCAGGCCCCCTGAAAGGATGTGTCACGTTTGAATGTCGGCCACCTCCTCTGAAAAGCACCTGTAGAGAAAACCTCTGTTTGTCGCAGTCTAAAGCCATAAAATATAATCTCATCAGAATGAAATGTGTGAGAAGAAGCCTGAAAAGAAATAGGGGTGGTAATGTGTATCTTCTGAAGCTGGTAGGAATATGTTTGCTGGGGTTTTATTATCTACAAAATCATGTAATAATTGAAGTCATGAATGTAGCTAATATAACCTTGTTGTGCTGTGCCAACTTTGATGGATATGTATGGTTAAGAGAAAGAAGTTCATGACACATGTTTTCACGGGGCCTGCATTGCTATATTTGATTCTTGCTGTTATGAATAAAAAAATGTAATAAAAATTTACAAACGAACTGAAGTAAGGTTCTGCTTGAGATGCGTTATTTCATATCTACTGTATTGTGTACAGGTTGTCTATTCAAAGAAATAGCATATTTTTGGAAAATACACTTATTTGCTTTTTTGCTGAGAGTTTGATGAGAAAATTGATACCACTCAGCTGATTAGCTTAGCTTAGCATTAAGACATGGGGGACAGTTAGACTGCATTGACTCTAAAAGATTCCACCTACCAGCACTTCTAAAGCTCACTCATTATTATCTTATATCTTGTTTGTTTAATCTGTAGAAAAACATAAATACAAAAATTACATTTTGGGGTTTTATGGGGAGTTATGTAGGACTATTTTGGCTGGGCATGGTGACTTCTTGTCATCCCCTTGAGGTTGTCAGCAACTAGTGGAGACACCAAGAAGTCTCTGCACCAGATCTGGGACATCACCCCCAAAATTCCAACAATTTCTATAACCAAAATGTAATTTAAACCAATAAGCAGGAAAACCGTAAATATCATGAACCACCACATAAATAAAATATGAGAAAATAAAGGGTGGTAGTAGCTCGGTGTGTAGGGACTTGGCTTGGGAACCGGAGGGTCACAGACCACAATATGGAGTGTGGACTGGTAGCTGAAGAGGTGCCAGTTTCACCTTCTTTGCACGACCGAGGTGCCCTTGAGCAAGGCAACCTAAAACCAAGAAACTACTCATGGGCGCCGCTAACGTGGCGAGCCCATCACTCCACTCTCTCTCTCCGGGTTTGCATGTCCACAAGTGCATGAAGTGTGTATTTCAGCCTGTGTGTGTAAGAATTAAAAAACAAAAAGAGTGAAAAAAAGGATTAATAAAGTATATATCTTGATCTATCGCATCTATAAATAGTAAATCCTTCAAATAATGTTAAGAAGGAATTTCAGTGATGTCTTGCCCTAACAGGTGCATCCTGCAACTGTATGGATTAAGTATTACTAGTATTCTTATGTAGGCCTATTAACCTACTTAAACAGGTAATTTGCCATGTACATTATATAGCTAAAGAGGCTACTTTTAAAAGGATGTCCGATATATGCTCAATGTGCTCTGAGCACAATAAATAAGAAATCACCAACTTGGGGAAATGTGTAACTTTTGATTGCAGGTCTCATAGTCTTGCCATAATAAACCATGATTATTCATGTTCTTTTTAATAATTTGTCTGCAATCTCAGTCACAACACTTTTTATCCTGTTAAAAAGTTCAGTTAAAAGTAGAGTTATTGCCCATGAAATCACCTCTTTTGTTAAATATATCTGTAATTCTGTCATCTGATTAGTGCTAATTTGCAGTGACTTTAAATAATTCCTCATATTCAATTAGCATAATTATCTTAGCAAACACTGGTCCAACATTTGATATATTTTTAATGTTTTCATTGCACTCAGGGGCACCAAATCAATACTGTTATTCATTAAAATCCTATTTGAGATATCTCTACGCTTGATGCATCAATTTGTCCTACCCATTGAAGCTTCTAATTAGGAGCAAAGATTTTAATTGAGATAGAGATATGTGACTCATTTCTTTGAGGAACACGTGCTGATGTGCTGATACAATCTGAATGTGACTTCATGTTGATGCAGTTTTTTAAGAAGCAAGTTCAGTCAGTGGGGTGAGGAATACCTTGCAATGCTGAGGCAGTTCATTCAGCTGAAATGGCATGTACACACATTGCAGAAGAGACAAGGTTAATGTCAGACTTTTTGCTTTCAAAATGATGAAATATCCTAAATTTAAGCCCTTGAGTGGTTTACTGATGCAGCTGTGTTATGTGGCTGATTAGACCTCAGATGCACACAGTCCTGAAAAATAAATAATTGAAAACACCTGTGCAGGGGCTTTTTAGCTTGATGTCTTTTCACAGAAACCAGTCACAGATACTTTCTCCAAAGCAAAAATAAAATCCATCCTGCTTGTAGAAAGCTGTGATGCACAGTATGGCCACCAGATAGCACCATCTCTTTGTCAATTGGGGCTCATAGCTCAGCAGTGACGGCACAATACAGAACACTACCTGTTCCATCACTGGAGCTTTGTATATATTCTAAAAGTATTTGAATAGGTATTATTGTTCCTGATGCTTTGTCTGATCCAATGAAATTATAGCGACAGAGAAAATGAAATGGACAGATGGATGTTGGAAATTAACCTCTGAAACTTAGATGCAGTGAGCTATCAAAGGGGGCTGCCAACACGCTGCTTGAGTTGTGTGGAAATGTTGACCAAGCCAGCATTGACAGGAAGCTGCAGACCGTTATCCCCAATGCATAGTTACCTTACTCATCAATTTCTACATCAGATTATGTGCCTGAAAAAAATCATTAGATTACCTTGAATTACAGAAAATAGTTTTTGAGTTTTGGCCCAGAGTTTAATTTTCACATTCAATCTCACTCTTTCCTCTCTACTTCGTCTCTATCTCAGCTTCCTTTGCCATGCATCTTTCCCTCTCAGCTTTCGTCCATCCTTTCTTTCTCAGTTCTCTCTTTCCTCTCCCTCCATCTCTCTGTCCACAGGCGTTAGCAGCAGACTGTGTCGTGTGGAGACTTAATGAACCAGTGCTGATCCAATAATGGCAGCTTCTGTCGCCCGCCTCACAAACTATGATGTACGACCTCATGTCTGCAATGCGTCATGAATCTCACTTACCACTGGCTTCCCTTAACATGCCTAGCTTTTCAATTGGGCTCTTCTTAAAACAACAAAGAAGCCTGAATAATGTGTAAGTGTGCGGGTGACTGTGGGTGTGTGAGATTATAAAAAAGATTGCCACCCCCCCAGCCAAGTTGAGGCAGGAGAAGGAAACAGAAGAGTTGCACTGTGGGCATTCATTATTATTCATTATCCATTAAGTGTCCATTGATACACAATAAATGTCATTTAATGAATTACCTCTCAGGGGAGGAAAATACAGAGAAATATAATCAAAATGTTAACACTTGCATTATAGATTCGGACAAAACAACAATGTGGGATTGACTGTTCAGTCGAGGGGTTAAATAAAAACTGACCCCACTAATGCTTGAGTAATGCTCTGATCTCATTATGGAGGAAATAATGCGAAAAGAGGAGGAAGGAGAGGAAGAGAGTGTGAAGCCAAGCGAAAGAAAGAAACGAGGAAAAAACAGCAAGGGATGTCGAGATGAAGAATGAAGAGAAGGCGATGGAGGCAGATGTGAGTCTTTAAAGTGGTACGGGAGTGAAGTGCGAGTGCATAAAGAAATAATAATGACATGTTTCCTTGGAGATCAGAGATGAGCAACAGATCAGAGACAACGGGCATCATAAGGGGTTTTATGTGCAAACAAGAAGAGAAGGACAGGTAATTCAAGGGTTGATACATGATGATCAAAAAGATAGACAGCTAGATTATCACCTTTATCACTCTCTGACACATTTACTTCAAAGTCATCATTTCATTATTTTTATGCACCCCCCACCCCCCACCTTGACTTAAACCCTGTTGCTCTCTCTCCCCCTCTCTCCCTCACTATGCTGAGTCACCACTTGACTTTCACTGAGTGCTGCTTGGAGCACAGCTCAAACATCCAATTTTCTCTAGGGTGTATGTGGGCGTGTGTGGGAGTGTGTGTGTGTGTTTGTGTGTGTATGTGCATCCAGGTGAATGCGATTAAGTGTGTTTGTGTGTGTGTGCGTGTTTATGGTAAGTGTCTGTGAATGTTTTCCTCTGCTGATGGAAAAAGAGAGTGGGAGCATAGCAGCAGGTTAGTTTAATCACGTCTCCTCCTGGAAGACGAGCAGTTATCGATCAGGCTGGTTTTCAGTCCTTTTCAGAATTTAACACCGACCGTCTGCTGCCCCGCCAATAACAGCCCATGATTCGGTTGTGTTTTGATGGAGTCATGTAACTGAATCCCCTATAAAAACACTTGGCTTGTGTCTGTTCCTTTTAGGCTTGGCTACTATTTTTTAGCTTCCTTGTACCATATAGCAGCACCTACTTTTGTCTTTGGAAGTTGGAAGCAACTCTCCACTGTTCTGTAAACTTCACACTTACCAGAGTTGCAGTACAGAGGGAAAAACCCATTTGACGTTTGACATTTCCATCATGATCAAAAGAACTGGTACAAAATAATTTTATGGGGTGGCTGTGGCACAGGAGGCAGAGCGGGTCGTCCACTAATCAGAAGCTAGTTCAATCCCCGCCGCCTCCCGCTGCATGTCACAATGTTCTTGAGCAAGATACTGACCCTAAATTGCTCCTGATGCTGTCCATCAGTGTATGATGAGTTAGTTTCTATCTGTGATGGCCTATGCCTTTGCACAGTCCATTTATCATTGAATTCTAGCCTAGCGTAAGCAGCACTATGTTCTTGTTTGTAAAAGACTTTAAAGTTACAGACAACTTGGCATGTCTGTCCTGTTTTGTAGTCTAAATGGGAATATAGGCGGCACATAGTTGAAGTACAACCTTCAAACTACAATCTAAACAGTACGTGTAATTTTTAGGCGTCTGGTGTAGCCTTAAGCCTCTACCACTTCAGTGACAGAATTTGCAGTTTACTGAATATTTTAGCGATTAGATAGCGGGAGAAGAACAAGTTAGGGGGTACATAACAACTGGCAGGGCATTTTGCTGACAGAATATGGGTCATACAAAGAGGGTACTGAGGGCACAGCTGTAACCAGCGATGAACAGTGGCTATTCACATGGTGACAGGATGTCCCTCGGCGTTACGTGTAGCACACAAAGACGGGAATAAAAGAAAGAGAGAGGAGGTCAGGGAAGGCACGATGTAGGTCCTATTAACATACCGTGCGATATCTTTCATTGTTAATTAGCCAGTCATTTGTCTTTACAGGACTGCGGCGCTATATGAGGAGGGATGAAGCAGCAGTGGGGGAACTTGACAGAGAATGAGAGCTGTACAGAGAGAGACAAAGCCTAAAGAAAGATCCCACTGTGACACCAGAGCCCACAGGAAGAAAGGGGGAAAAATCTGTTGTAACAGCTGTGGTGGAGG